GAAACGCTGGACCCTCTCCACCTTCAGCACAGATAGGGGTGAGGGTCCAGCGTTTCACATACGCCGGACCCCATGGGGGCTCCTAGTGGAGCGGGGGTCGGCGTTTGTGAAACGCTGGATCCTTTCCCCCTTAAGCACAGATAGGGGAGAGGGTCCAGCGTTTCACAAACGCCGGACCCCACTACACCTTCGACACAGAAGGGGAGAGGGTTCCGTGTTTCACAAATAGGGGAGAGGGTCCACTGTTTCGCAAACGCTGGACCCCATGGGGGCTCGAAGTGGAGCGGGGGTCCAACGTTGGTCAAACGCTGGACCCTCTCCCCTTAAGCACAGATAGGGGGGGGAGAGGGTCCAGCGTTTCCCAAACGCCGAACCCCCGCGCCACTTCGAGCCCCAATGTCCACCCCTTACGCATAGATAGGGAAAACGGTCCAGCGTTTCACGAACGTAGGACCTCTTCTGTGCCGAAGGTGTAGCGGGGTCCGGCGTTTGTCAAATGTTGGACCCTTTCCCCTATGTGTGCTTAAGGGGGAGAGGGTCCAGCGTTTCACAAACACCGAACCGCATGGGGGCTCGAAGTGGAGCGGGGGTCCGGCGTTTGTGAAACGCTGGATCCTCTCCCCCTTAAGCATGGGGCTTGAAGTGCCGCGGGGGTTCGGCGTTTGTGAAACGTTGGACCCTCTCCCCCCTTTTTGTGCGTAAGGGGGAGACATTGGGGCTCGAAGTGGCGCGGGGGTTCGGCGTTTGTGAAACGCTGGACCCTATCCCCTATCTGTGCTTAAGGGGGGAGAGGGTCGAGCGTTTCACAAACGGCGGACCGCATGGGGGGCACGAAGTGGAGTGGGGTCCGACGCCTGTGAAACGCTCGACCCTCTCCACCTTCAGCACAGTTAGGGGATAGGGTCGAGCGTTTCACAAATGTCGGACCCCATGGGGGCACGAAGTGGAGCAGGGGGTCCGGCGTTTGTGAAACGCTGGACCCTCTCCCCCTATCTGTGCTGAAGGGGGAGGGGGTCCAGCGTTTCACAAACGTCGCACCCCACTATCCCTTGGGCACAGAAGGGGTTCGGTGTTTGTGAAACGCTGGACCCTTTCCCCTATTTGTCCTTAAGGGGTCCGACGTTTGTGAAACGCTGGACCCTTTCCCCTATTTGTCCCATAGGGGAACGAAGTGGAGTGGGGTACGGCCTTGTGAAACTTTGGACCCTCGTCCCTATCTATTCACAGTTAGGGGAGAGGGTCCAGTGTCCCTATTTGTGCAAACGAAAGAGAGAGCAAAAAAGTTTTAATCTCAATTCAGCCGAGCAGCTCATAATGCCGACACATGGAAGGAGTTTAGTGGATCATGCCCTTAAGTACTTTTCACCGGCCTCTACTATGCTGGCTCTTTAGAGAACAAATACTCCCTCTCATTACGCTCTGAAAGGAATTCAAGAGGACATATCCTCAATAAGACCGAGACAATAGAAGAGAGGGGAGGGGGTCAGGGGAGGGTACGCTTCATCCTTTAAAAAATCAACGGGGAGAGGAGGGGAGAGGAGGGGAGGGGAGGGGAAGGGAGGGGAGGCGGGGGAAGGAGGGGAGTGCTTATATGGGAGAGGACGTTACCGCTGCGTATGCCATACTCCGACCGGTTGATCCTTACAGCGTACACAAGCATTCGACGGAAAGTACGGGAAGGGGGAATAACCCGTCGACTAGACAAGAGAGACTAAAAAACAGGTTGTTGGAGGAATCACGACAGGAGAACTCACCCCGCGCTGCACGATGAGAAGGGAGCAACAACGCTACACCCCAGCGTCGCTAAAAAAGACCCAGGATAAAGCATGAGTCGTTCGGGGACGGGGGGAGTAGAACGCTGACGTCCCAACGACCGAGGGCCAATCACTACAATGTGTTGGCTAATATACTAACTTCTAGACGAAGTCGAGTGGGATCCGGCGCTTGTGAAATGCTGGACCCTCGTCCCTATCTGTGCACAGTTAGGGGAGAGGGTCCAGCGTTTCACAAACGCCGGACCCCATGGGGGCACGAAGTGCAGCAGGGGTCTGGCGTTTGTGAAACGCTGGACCCTCTCCCCGTTCAACGCAGATAGGGGAGACGGCATACCACAAAAATTCGAAGCACAACATGAACTCCATCATGTCTCCTCAAACTTCAACCGCCATATCCGTACTACGAATGGCCTCGTAGATGCGATGGCAATCCATGGAGTGTAGACGAAGGTCAGCCATAGCCAAAGCTTGGTCTCCTCCCTTGATTTCAACCTCCTCTACGTGGCACATGTTGCAATGCATACTGTAGGCGATCGTATTACACATAGCGTCCCTCAACGTCAATGCATATATCGCATGACACAATTTACCCCTCTACGTGGCACATGCCGCAATGCCCCGTTCATGCAGCAAAACAAATGTTTCACGTCTACATTTGTCTTTTTCTTCGTTTTCTTTATGTATTGTACTGCTCCATAATCGTCGAAAGTTTGAAGCACCTTCACAGCAATTGTTCCGACCATAGATGTCCTCTCCCGCACAAACTTTATCATGGCATCCCGAATGACACTGCAGAAAAGGCATGCGTGTCGGGACATGATGTACATCATGTCGTCGATATCGTCGTTCGGATGAGGTTTCCGTCGTTCGATGCGTGTACAACAGTATGTCATCCCGTGCCGTGCTTCAAATGCAATGCACAAAATTTTTTCATGCTGTCTCATATCGTTGTCGATTATCCAACTACCTCCGTAGAAAACGTTCTTCCACCTCGCTGCACCATGTCTCTAATAGTGCAACAACGGGTCACACGTCTTAGCCATCCTTGATACCGTACGTTGCAGATGCGGAGCCCACGTATCAAACGTGGGGTATAATATTGTCTCGTCCACTGAACGAAGACCGACCGCCGTCATCCGTTGGGTGTACCGGAATGGAATTAGTTCTTCGTATTGTATGGGTGTTCCCCATGTGCCTGTGAGGCAATGCTTAGTACCACCGATCGCATCCATGGTTGCTTCTACTGCATGTAATGCAAAAACGAAGAGCGTCGAACGCGGTCCCTCATATTCAGTATTCTTCAAAATTGCCAATATCATACATCGACACTGAGCCGTCCGGCTCACCTACAATTCTGTACATTTAATGTACAACCACACCGGCAGGCATGTCCGTCTGTTGTGTCCGTCTAATTGCTTGTTCTTATAATGCCACAAACGACTTAGTGCCCATTGCTAACTCTCGTGGTTATACATTAACCTGAATACATCACCCGGTCGCGCAGCACTATCCAAACTATGCTTTTATCTTCTCTCAACTGAACCTGGTGCTGCCAAGGACTGTTGTGCTTTCATTACATCCCGTTTTCGTATTTTCATTCCCGTTCTGGATTGTATCCCGTTGCTCCATGCCCATGCTACGCTTTTAAGGTCTTGTCATCCGGGTTCAGATTCGGTTTCCACTCTCCACGTTTTGTTCCATGCATCTTCGTAAAGCTTCGATAAATCGTGTTCACGACCGGATGGCCTCCAGTACTGTACGAAAAAACGCGCACTCTCTATCTTCATTACACGTGCAACCCAGAATGTGCACCCTTCTTTTGTGAAATCATCGGGAGCGCGCAAAACTACGAAATTGTCGATCTCGACTGCTTTGCAAGGGTCGAATTCCGGTTTTGGTGCATCTTTCCGATGCCCGACAAAGCACATTTTTTTCAGCGGTTGTGCTACGACGTACGGGACCGCGGACTCCGCATTCGGTTCGGCCAACGTGGGCGATGGCCAAAACGAGTAGGATAGAGGCACTGTTCCAGTCTCTTCCGTCTTAATGTTGTCGAACTCAGCTAGACGGTCCGTCCAGTATTGCAGTCTCTCAATCCTCAGTTGCCGCTCCTCTTCGGTTTGTGTTCCCCATTCGTTCATAGCATCTTTCCACGTTTTAACCATCACCCGGATACCCGCTTTACCGTTTGCGAAGTCACCGGAAGCGGAGTTGGGTGACTCGCGATGAGGCTCGAAGCCCCATGTCGGACCTGCCCATCTCTTATCCGCGTCCCGTTTGAACCAGTATACTGGTCCGTTTTCAGGTCCCCACCGCTTGTTGGTGTAGTGCTTTTGTAAACCATAGCCGAATTATCACCCTCCATGTAGAATTCAAAAAAGTGTGGTGTAGCATGACCCGAAATCATTTTGTCAAGGTACGGATGAATTGCGGTTTTCCAGTCCACGATTTCCGTAAGCAGCGTACAGTCCACTGGCTCTTCACACGACATTCGCAATACCGCGAACAGTTCGTCCATCGTGTACGTGTCGCAACCATTGAGTTTGCGAGCGAACAAACTAAATTTCGCATCGATGTCAGTATGGGTATGCCCGACTATCATGAACCCCATCTCTACGACTTCGAAAATGCAGAACTTCACCAACATAGCGAGGAATGCAAAAACGTATCTGTTTTTGTTCTGTCCACCGCAGTTATTAGCTTGGACGCGTAGCTTGCGAGGGACTTGCCTTTCGCAAGCTTTCATGTCTCTTAGCACTTTGGCAATGGAAGTAACAACTGAATTCGACCCGTGCGACAGATAAGGAAACCACGTGTGGACGATCAAGGATGGCGTCCTACCATGAGCTATTATACCAGTGAGGTTCATTTTCATCATTGTGTTGTTAGCCATCTCCTTCGACAAATGCCGACGTGACACATGGGGAATGGTCGTTTTCGCTTGGTCCATTCCATCTATAATTATGCACAAACTTCGGGTCTTATGAAACTGAGATTCCGTCGACCATCGGTCATACATCTGGCGATGGGCCCGCTGCATATCAAGGTGGCTCTTTTGTGCGGCAACCAGTTGGCGCCGCGGCCCCGGAAGAGCGCCCTCGATCAGGATAGCGTTTTTTATGCATTGGTTGCACCTCGCGTGGTCAGTTACTCTCGCAAGTCGAACGTGCCAAAAGTAATATCTCCAGATCCTACAAAACACTTGGTACGACGAGCAAGACATACCAAGTTTCTCTAACCTATGGACGATGCTTCTATGAACATCTTTCTTTGTACCATACATCGAAGGGAGACGAACACGTTTCCTAATATCGAGATCCGGTCCCGTCTCCGTCTGATCTGGCATAGGGTCAGACTCGTTCAGGATAATGTCATCAAAAGCAGACCATGTCAGCGCATATTCTGCAGTTGTCCGAGGGCGACCATCATTGCCATGCCGTGCATCGACCGTTCCATCGTTGAGGTCATCGTTGTGCCTTTTGTAAGTGTTCCGACCACAACCCAATATCAGACACCATGCGGTAACGCACACCGGATGCATTTCTACAATAGGCTTGACCTCGGGCTTCTTTTGTCGGAGTGCCGTGAAGCTACGAAGCTTCGATATCCACCACCTTTGCTTATCCTTCCCTCGAACCGATCTGAACTCACGTCTGCACTTTTGGACGTCCGCTGGTTTCATTCGTGAGAGACACCCATAAGACTTGCAACATGTCTTCTTCAACACGGCCTCACATCCCTCGAGGCTGCACCTACGTTCGTACGTGGCATCTGACTCGTTCGATCCTCTTTTGCGTGTGCGGTAAGTGTTTCTCCTTTTCCCTTGTCTACCGAGCGACGAGGAGTGAGGCGGCACAAAGGTCCTTTCCACCACGTCACCGTCGTCGACGTCGAACTCACGATCTCTCATAAATTCATCGTTCCCGTTCGAACTCCTCAATCGTGGCTTGAGAAAGTACGAAATCGTACGGAACATCATCACCCTCGCACACAGGTTGGGCGTCTACGAAAGCCGCAGTCCTCGAACCAACTGACCCTCGGGCGGAACTGAAAGGAATAGTTCCTTTAAGGATATCATAGAGGCGAAGACGACGGACAACGTTATTGCTCCCCACCGTCTGGCGGCGGCGAACAACACACCGGTTCGGCGACCTATTGACCGAGGCCACCCAATGTCGGCGCTTGGACGATGTCACGTTGCCCAAAGTCGATCGACTTTCGCAGGTAACACCGAAATGAGCTACGGTCGGTGTACGTAGCAAATCAACGGACGGTTGAGAATCATGTACCAGGCTGACCCTTTCGGAATTCATGCTGACATGATCGGTTCGCCGTCGGAACCTGGTAGATAAAGCAGGCCAAAACATGCGGTAATGGGAGTGTGAGATTTTATAGTTGCCTGCAATCTCATTCCATTGCTGAGGGCGCCACAAACATACACACACACACACACACACACACACACACACACACACACACACACACACACACACGCACACACACGGGCACACACACACACACACATCATCATCACCCTCGCACATAGGTTTGAGGAACGCCGGACTCAACCCGAAGGGGGCCCGGCGTTTGCGAAACGCCGGAACCCCCCACACCCCCAAAGGTGAAACGTCGAACCCCCGCACCCCCCAAAGGGGTCCGGCGCACAAACGCCGGACCCCGCACACACACACAAAGGGGTCTGGCGTTTCACAAACGCCGGACCCCCCACACCCCCGAAGGGTTCGGCGTTTCACAAACGCCGGACCCCCCCAACCCCCGAAGGGGTCCTGCGTTTGTGAAACGCCG